AAACTCAAGATATGGCTCCAACCATTACTATGAACAAAATCACTTACTTACTGCCTTTGATTTGGATGCACTGATTTCAACCCTCTATAACTTCTTTATCCCAATTCCAAATTCATCAAATATTATGTAAAAAGTATAGTCAAAAATTTTTTTTCTTCAAAATCAATCATTGATCTTTGGTTTCTCTCTATAAACGTATGTTATGCCTTAAAGAGTGATAGTAGATATGAAATTGACACCTTAACTTTGAGCACCAATAACTCTTTCATAAAAACTCCAAATTACACAAAATTTGCATCCAATTTATACCCAAAATCCTAAACTTGCTGATCCTAGCCTTCAAAGCTCGAATGGCTTCGAAAAAAAAACCCTAATTCCTAATATGGCCTCACACAGCCTCCTTGAAGTCCATTAGGCGTGGCCTTTGACCAATAGGAATGAAGATCTCCATTCCTTACCTTCATCCAACCAAGCCTCCTATTAGTTAAGATTTTCTTCTTTAGGCTCTAATCTCCTCTCAAGGCTTCGTACTAAACATTTAGGTCTTATAATTTTTTTAAATGCTATAATCAAAAAAGATAAAACTCAAAATAAAGTTTTTTTTTTTATATCTACTCTCTTTACATTAATCTATTAACCATTCTAACATACACCAAAACTTATGAACATATCATATGTTCTAACTAACTTTTATATACTATAAGCAATTAAAGTACGACAACGGATTTAGTACTACTTGAGAGAATACTTCTTCTAAGCTTACCACAAACCTTCTTGCTGGTTTTGATAGATTTATTACTACTTAATAGAGTACTTATTCTAAGCCTACTGCAAACCTTCTTGCTGATTTTGACAAATTTAGTATTACTTGAGAGAGTACTTCTTCTAAGCTTATTGCAAACCTTCTTGCTGGTTTTGATGGACTTTGTACTGCTTGAGAGAGTACTTCTTTTATACTTAATGTAAACCTTCTTGTTCGTTTTGACAGATTTATTATTGCTTGAGGAAGTACTTCTTCTAAGCTTACTATAAACCTTCTTGCTGATTTTGACAGATTTAGTATTGCTTGAGAGAATACTTCTTACAAGAAAAAAACTTTAGCTAATTTTAAGCTTTGTTTACAAAAAAAAAAAAAAAAAAAAAAATTTACAATGCATTCAATTAGTGACCATTTCTAAAACCAAAGCTTTATATGCTAATGGTAGATTTTTCACAATAAGCACAAATCATAGAAGATCAACATCTAGTACAAGCATTTTTTCTTGTGGCTTCAATCTAGGTATATCCAATTATTTTTTATTCAAATCTAGGTATGTATGCTCTGAGATTTTCTACTCTACGGCACTCTTTGATCTCTTCTTGCATGTATATACGACAAGGTGATCAACCTATTTATTATCCAAGTTTTCCACAAAATCAACGGAGTTATGAACTTGCTGAAATCAAGAGATAAAAACATTACAATAGTTGCAGATTATTAGGCTATTGATGGCAAAAGTGTCCACATAATCTAATACATTCTTAGCCATCAAATCTGCATTCCAGTTCTTCTACTCAGGCCTCCTTTGTCAAATTTATTAATCCAACTACAATTTATCAACCAAAAAAAAATCAATAATTTGTTGACAAGCTATATTCTTCAAATACTTTTCAAGATCTTTCATATTCTCATCTAAACCAGTACCATTCTTATGATCCAAAAATGAATTTCTTCTTGATTTTTCTAGTGATATAACTTGAGCGTATACTGCTTCACCTTCAACTTTTGTGGAATTATCAATGGCTAGATTGCCAACAATAGGACAACAAAATATATGACAAATCAATTATAATAATTCATAAATTATAAATCATTATTAATTCATTCTATATGGCCATTTGGACATACATATTATGTAACAAGTATTCATGATATCAAAATTCTAGTACAATTATCTACTTGAATCAAAGTTCATCTTTTGCAATAGGTTCTATATATTCCAAATTTTTACACAAAATTTGCTTAGTCTTACAAAGATGGCTTGAAACAAAAAAAAATTACTCTTTGTAAAGATGACACATACAAGCTAATTTAAGACAATCAACTTATTATGATCAACTATATGTGTCAAGATTCTTATATACTTGATTTACTATTTTACTTCCTCTGGCCATTATTTCATATACAATCTCATGTGAATGTTTTTTATCATTAAAAAAATTATAAGATTTATATAGATGGCACTTTTTAGACATTTACATTGTGACATAATAAAACGGATGGCTACAAATGGTTTTTTTACGGATATTAAACTCAAAAATTTTGATCTTCTCAGTATTTGCTCTTGGATGCACATTTGGCAAATCTCTTAGGATTTTATTTCTACGTAATATTACAAGAACTCAAGTTTCTTCATCCAAAATACTTCATAATAATATTTGTGGCCCCATGAGTGTGCCATTTCATGGTGGTTCATCATATTATATTTTATTTCAAGAGAATTTCAAGAAAATTCATTATGTTATTTTTTTATATTTTTTATTCTTTAAAAATCAGATTCTCTTATTTTTTTTCAAAGAGTATGCAAAACTCTATTTTGTGATACAAGTTACAAGGTTCTTACATTATGTATTGATAATAGAGGCAAATATTATAGTAAATTTTTTATTGATTATTTACAGGAAGAAGGCATTAAATATGAGCTTACAATTCCGTATACTCCAGAACAAAATGCAACATCAGAGAGAGATGATTGCACTATCATGGAAGCAATTTGAAGTTCTATTTATCCTTTACATCTAGATCTTGCTTTCAAGGTTGAAGAAGTTGATAATATTGTTTACACATTAAACAGAACCTATTCTCAACTTCTTCCTACAATCACACCTTTTGAAGCTTACATGAGTAAAAAGCCTTCTCTTACTCACATGCAACCTTCTGATTGTAAAGTTTTTACACATATTCCATATCAAGTACACAAAATTTTTGATTCCAAAAGCCAAATTGGATTATTCCTTGGCTATTTTGATGAATCAAAGGGCTATTGTATATGGGATCCAAAAAGAAAATAAGTTATTATTAGTCATGATGTTCTTTTTGCTGAATATGATTATATTCCTAACACAACATCTACTGCTGCTGAATCTTCCAGTATTGTTTTGACGGAAGTTCCTTTCACAACCTCACAATAACCTTCTTCGGTACAAAAGAATTCTATTCTACATAATATCCATTCAGATTTATCTGAATCTTCTCATCCATTATTACTTTCTTCTTTGACTACTGCTAGATATGAAAATTTTCTCGATACCTTGCCTATACTCCAAACTCGATGTTTTTCTATTAATAATTTATCAATTGATTCAACAGCTCATATACATCTTGATCATGCACACAATCTTACCAGAATTGCTTCACAGCCACATACAACGATTACATCGACTAATCTACAAACTTCCTCTGAATAATTATTATCATCAAATTTTGAACACGTTAACTCTGATCACTTGACTTTGTTGAATTTTGAATACCAAATTTCTGAACAATTAACATTGTTGGATTCTAAACAACAATTTTCTGCGCCTTCACAGTGACAACGAAGACCATGTGACTGATTTGGATACTTGCAAATTAACTGGAGGTATTCATCTGCAAATTCAGTTCATACTCTGCTATACCATCTTTCGCATATTCTTTTGTGTTATCAACTTCAACAATCTCACAATCATACTCCAAAGCACTAGCTTCCCCTCACACATCACAATGGAAGTGTGCTATCCAAGAAGAATGTGAATACTTACTGCAAAATGACACACGGACTTTATCAAATCTTCCTTTTGGCCGCAAAGCAGTAAATTGTAAGTGGGTTTATGCATTAAAAACCAAGCCGGACGGTACTGTAGATTGCTTCAAAGCACGATTAGTGGCCAAAGGTTCACAGAAATTCGGCATCAACTTTTACGAAAATTACTCCCCTATTCTAAAATTTGACTCTATCCGCCTCGTTCTTACAATAACCGAAAGGGAAGACATACACATGGCAATTTGATATTAGAACAACTTTTTTACATGGTCAGTTACACAAAGAAACTTACATGAAACAAGTGTCTGGTTTTGAAGATCCACAGCATCCGACAAAGGTCTATCATCTTAATAAAGCTCTGTATGGGTTACAACAAGCAAGTCGTGCGTGGAATGAGAAAATTACTAAATTTTTGGCTAACTCCAATGTTGATACGAAGCTCATCATTCTCATGTTCGTCGATGATGGGCTCTGTTATTGTCAAGACCCTCATCGCATGGACTCAGTACTTACAACCACGAATGATATTTTTGAAACAAAAGTTAACGACCTCAAAATTTATGTTGGTTTACAAATTAGACGCGACAGATCCTCTGGATTAATTTTTCCACACCAACGTGCATACCTCGAGAAAATTATACGAGATTATGGTTTCTCCAATTCTTCATACATCTCCACTCCTATAGATTTGAATTCAAATTTGCGAATTGCGGATTCTACAGATACTGACCCTGCTATTTCTTTTCCACTTGTTAATGCTGTCGGAAGTCTGCAATTTGCCTCAATCGGTACTAAATTAGGTAGAACGTATTCTGTGAATAATATTGCCTGATTCAAGTCCAAGTATGTACAAGCTCACTGCAATGCCATAAAACAATTTTTTGATATCTTTGTTCCACCCTCGATTTCAAACTGGTATATGAGGGCACAACTTCTCTAACTATCTTGACTGCCTTGATGATCAAAAATCAAGAAGTGGCTATGTCTTATTTCTTTATGATGGATTCACCATAAAGAAACAAGCTTGTTTGGTAGATAGTACTACCTATTCCAAATACATTGCTTGTTACATGGTTGCAAAAGAGATTATTTGGTAATGTCGTATTTTATAAGATCTCGAGTTCACTCAACACCAACCTACAGTTTTTTATTTTGATTCTCAAAGTGCCATTCAACTTGCACTCAATCCAAAATTTCATTTGCATACCAAACACGTTGTAAAATACCACATGCTCCGAGAGCAAGTCAATAATCAAATCTTACAAATTGATTACATCTCAACAAATGCAAATGTTGCAAATATCTTCACTAAAGCTCTAACTTTAAGCGCCTGAGTGCCTTACTCTTTCTTCTACTTGATACTTCTCCATTGAAGTGGGAGTATTGTTACATATTATAATATCAATGGAGAAGTTATCGTTTAGTTGGAGTTTAGTACCTAGTGAGTTACCAGTGAGAAAGAATAACTTCTATTTGTTGAGTATAATGATGAAAGAGACAAGAAATGAAGGCTGTTCACTTGTGTGACTTTGTACATTTGTGAGATTCATATTTAGAAATAAAGAGTGAGGAATTTGTTGTTTAATTCGGTGTAGAGTGCTGTGCGATAAAAATTTGTTCCGCGCGGGGATCGACGCTGATCCCTCCCGCCAGGACAAGCGAGGGAAAAATTGCCAATGCTGTGCATCGGAAAGAATGAATACATGGCAGCTTACGCTGACCATGTGCGCGAACTCGTTGTCTCTGCTCTATTCTACTCTATGATACATTGAGGATCTGTATCAGCTGGCCAATCTTGTTGCCTGGACTTCCTTTCTAGTACTTGTTCACCTCTCCAACCTGTCGGCGAATTTCGCCGGAACGACCTGTCAACACCTCAATCCGGCTCATCGCCACCATCGCCTGGGCAAAGTTTCGGTAGAATGCAGAACCCTTGTTGGCGTGCACATCCCGCTTGGTACGCGAGTCGTACAGTAGGCCCTGGTCCGAGGTCAGCAGGCCTCTCCCTCGGATGATGTCCTTGTAGTACTGGCTGTCGAACCTCCGTGTGGTGGAATCCATGTTCACGCTAGTGGATCCGATTCCTGGATACGGGCACTGCCTCTTCAAGGACGCGGCGAAGTTGGGAGCCAGAGTTGGGTCGACCGGGCTTGTCTGAACGCGGTCATCAAACGTAACGCACGGAGCTCTGCCGATCGTGTGGGCGCCTGACAGGACTACCATTTCGGAGGCGCTCAAACCCTTCGCCCCGAACATACGTATGAGTTGAGACACGGTCGCGTTCGGGGCGGGCAGGTTCATTTGCGTCGCCTCCTCCGCGAGGGAAACCTTTCCGTCTCGACGGCCAGCAGGCACACGCCATCCGTAACCTCCAGCCTGGACAAGCAATCCACAGGTCAGAAACGAGATCCTGACAATCAACCTGTGCAGCGTGGAATGCGATGCGCTTCCGAATCATCCATCTGGTGTGGGATCGGGTCAAGGCGGGAACCAACATCAACCTTGATCCGCAGATACTACCACCTTCGCAGTTTAGGACTGTAGCTTACCAGCACAACTGAGTCGCGGGCGGCAAACTGCAATATGTCGGCGGCTGAGACGATGCCTGGGCAAGCGCTCTCCACAGCTCTCTTGGCGGCGTCCACCGCCTCAAAGCCATGGAGCCCCCGGTTGAATAGAGCCGTTCGCTCTGTGTTGGGTCCTTCCAGTAGAACGGAAGCGTCGCAACCCTGAAGAAGCCAAGCAGACCAAAGATTCACGTCAGGAGGCGATTTGGTCACAGTGCGAAGCATTTGAGGAAGGTAACTCAGGCAAACCAAACTCGCGATCCAGGTACGTCCTACCACAAGCTCTGCGAATCGTTCTAGCCGGCTGGGGCGCTGCAAGTCAAAGCGATCACTTACCCGCACGAAGCAGTCGTGGAACGCCATCCGGAGAACTCCAGGTGCAACGGTGTGGTTCGCCTTGTAGGATTGAACCATAGAATTGTAGACAATGGTCTCGACTTCCGGACAGCTGTGATGATAGAACCCTACCTTCAGCCCGCTGTGAGCGACTGCCGGGGTGATTGAGTTCATGGCAATGGCGAGGGTAACGAAGATCGTCGCTAAGGCTTTCGAGGACCACTTCCCCATCGTACCGGTTACAGTCGGTGGATGGATTGATGGATGGGCTGGTGGCTGGTGGAAATATCTGTAGCACCTGAGGATTGAGGTTGTTGCGGGCCGATCTTGGAATAGGGCGCCCGCGGAAGAGTTTCACAAACTCGGAGGTGCTGAAACTCGAAACTTGATTTTGGTTCGCTCGCTGTGTCGGACTTGGATCTCATTCAATTTGGATGCGCTTTGGCCTCCTGCAAACCCTCCAGGAATCGTCAATCCCCAGTTAGAGGGATGCACACAAGACCGCTGGTCTAGACGGAGGTCGGGGTCGGGGTCGATCAAGTGAGAGCTGTGCGGGTTGTGGAGAGATCGGCACTGCCTCTTACATACACGCGCACACGGCACTGAGGCAGCGGAAAAAGAGCATGCTTGGATGCGCAGTATGAACGAGAGGCGTCGTGGTCGATGATCCTTGCGCGTCCCGATCCGCCGCCCTTTCCACGGGGCCACAGCGACAGTAGGAATACTGGGAGCATACCGAACCAGAGTTGCCGAGGTGGTTTCAACTGGGCCTTTAATGAATGATGTCACCAAAAGATCGTCACGGTGTCAATTAGCTGTAATATGGTGATGGTGTTGACGATGTTGTTGGTGGCGGAAACAATCAGTTACAAAAACACGAATATACACAGAGTATATGACACTTGAATTTCAACCAAGTTTGTATGCTTGTTGTCAAATAAGAATTTTCAACGTGAACAAAATCAGCACGAAATGCGACCATCTGGTTAGCAAGATGACTGATCCAGACGGGAGTATCGGGTGAAACCAAAAGCCTGGCCCAAAGTCCGGGGCTTTTGACTGCACAAAGTCAAAACTCGTGCCAATAACCGGTCCGCAACGGCAGGCCACCGATTGCTTCCCTGAAGAAAAAGGTCCTTCCTTGCTTGCTTCTACCGAGCTTCTTCGGGTTTCCTAGTATGAACCGACAACGGGGTGATAACATCAGCAGTATCATGACTTGGGCACCATGCCGGGATTGATCGCCAAAGGTTCCTCATCCACTTCCATGTTGAACTTGGCGCACGTTTCGCTCCATCTGCAACTGGGAGAGAGCGGCATCAGCCAAGCATGAGGAAACCTGAAACTCCGAGGACTCAAGGCGTTCGTTTCGGGTCGACTTTGGAGGCTTCAACTAGCTGGCAGAGATTCGGCCTCGGTGCAGCCGGCAGGTGTTGACGCACGGCCCAGTAGCAGCAACTTGCCGCTGCTTGACTGCGTGTTCGTATTTATTTACTAAGTTCGTAGGAATCTTTTGTTCCTCTAGATGACCTTTCCATCCCACAAGATTGGTCAAATACGCTGGAAGTTGATTCCATATAGCTCGGCTGAGAAACCATGATGATGTCAGAAGGAGATTGCGTCGATCTAATCCATTCAGTAACCCCGCATCACTTCAGTCTTGTTTTCTGAACGTGATATTCAATTTCCATGACACATCTGTGCAAAAGGTCTCCCTGAACGCTCACCTTCATGTTCGCATCGTTTAAAACTCAATGCAATGTTGAACAATCCAATGGTGGCATGTACTTGTTGTAGCTAAATCCATAGCCATGCTTGTACTGTTTTGAAAGTCCAATGTAAAATCATGCATTGCAGTTGTTGCTACCTTCAAGCCCTTAATCAATCAATGCCATTAAATCCCCCTGCCCACCAATGAAGGAGGGCCATGAGTAGGTAGGATAGAACTTTGGAAGTTTGTATTTAATTCACATGGTATGTGAATGTTAGTGAAAGAGGGCCATGAATAGGTAGGATAGAACTTTGGAAGTTTATATCTAATTCACATGGTATGTGAATGTTGGTGCATGCCTTGAGTTTATTTGGATTGTATAAATATATAACAAATATAGAATTAAGTGAATCCAAAGAGAAAAAACCATGCAATCGAATGAAATTGTCATAATTAACTTCTCCAAAATGAGTAACATAGACATTCAAACTCTAATAGATATAATACCTTGATGTGGCTAAGCTATAGTTGCCATGATTGTTGTCACATGTATTTATTATATTTATTATGTAAATAATATAAATAGGTAGAAGTAAGTAAAGTAGATTAATTTTATAATATTTTTTAGAAAATCTTCCTAGAAGCTGCATAGATGTTACTTTGACTTTACATGTGTTTGTAGTTGATTGATATGTTAGAAACTTGGTCAATAAATTAACGACATGCCTTATGTATTGATAGCTTGTAGAAGAAGCTAATTATGTGGCATCCATATAGAAAACTTGCCTTAGAAGTTAAGATACATGTTGTACAACGTCAACACATTTTGGAGGTCCTATAGAATGTTGCTACATAGCTCCTAGGTAGATAGTATATTTAAAAGTACGAATAAAGCCTTCTTTTCTTATATCAACTCCTTTCTTGCTTTTAGTCTAATTTCAAGAGTCTTTAATTTCCTTATATTTTGGCAATAGACATTTGAATTTTTTTTTAATATATATATTTCTTTATTTCTATTTTATCATAATTCTTTGATAAAATCTCACTTATTTACTTATTTTCATTAAGTTCTTATTCTTAAAAAATTAATAAGAATATACTAATAATATCAAAGTTTTATCTTTTCTTGATTAAGAGTAGATTACTCTTTTTTCTTAATAAGGCATAAGCATATTAAAAGTTACAAATTACCTTCTTCTATAATAATATTTTTATTAGTATTTTTTCTATTCTTAAGTTTTCTTTTTTATTTATATTGAGTGATATTAGACATCTCTTTTCTTCTAACTAATATTATGGTAAAGTTTGTCTAAAACAGAACTGGTCAGTTTCAAGTATGTAAGACCCTTCAAATCTATAATAACATATAAACCTTATCACAAGATAGGACAAACTTAACTAGAATAAAACTAAAAAAAATTCAACAAAACTAATTACAATGAAATACGGAAGAGAAAATTGAGCAACGACAATTAAAATAGAATATAACAAAATAAGAAGATATAAAATTTAATTATATTAAAAAAAAGGGTCTGAAGCCATACTTGACTAGATGCTCCAAAAGGCCTTGGCCAGTCCTATTTATACTTTATTCTACCACCCTAGACTTTCTAGAATGTTTCTAGGTGGTGGACTCCACTCAGATAACCACCTTAAATTCCTTTTAGAAGGTTCTGTGGTAGATCCTACTTAAATAACTACCTTAAGTTTTCTTCTAGAAGGTTCCATTGTGTGCCCCTCCTAAATAATTGCTTTAAATTCTTTCTAGAATGTTCCATAGTAGATCTTATCTAGTCCACTAATCTAACTCCAATTCTACAAACTTCGATGGTTCTAATTATCTATTCTTATGTGTCAATAATACAAATATCTAATCTATATCCTTGTTACAATTAATTTCCTTCTATTAATGCAAAACTTTCTCATTTTGCTCCCAATGGAATCTACAAATTATTTTTTGGTAATGGGTGAGATATTGTGTAGGTTCTTACAGTGCATCATGAATAGAATAATCTTTTCAAAGAACTTTGTACTGAAATTGTGGATGTCCACTGCCACAATGAAGGTAGCGATGTTCCAAAATGCTATCCACTTCATATTCTTATTGATCATCAACTACAATTGGTCGTCATGGTCATTGGTGTCAATCCAAAAAGTGCTTAGGCTTGATATGAGATTCCTTCACTTATAAAATATGGAAGACTAAATGGATTCAAATATGTGGCAGAAGCTTAAAGAGTATGTCACATCAGAAATCACTATAGAAATACAAAAAGGTCTAAGCCATTGAGGTATTAGTTAACGGATTTGGGATGATGTAACAAATAGCAAGTTGGCATTGAAGAGTAACACCTAATCACCCTTCCAAAAGATCTTGAATTGCTGATGGTTATCCACATATTGCTTCTATCAATTCTATATGATAAAGAGGTAGTGTCATACCTCTTGTAAAGTTGTTATAAGCTGTTGTATAAATTCCTTTGTTTTCAGGTTATTAGTATTGATAGAACCATGAAGAATTGTTGGCGTAATCAGATACTCATTGATATCAAGGAAAAATAGTGAATGATCATTACTTCCTTAAATACTATCATTGTAAGAAAATTCCAAAGACGTCAAGTATTCATCCTAGTCATTATGATGAACGACCACAAATGTCCACAACATATTGTCTAACGTGTAATTTACACACTTTATTTGCCCATTTATTTGAAGATAGAAGGTTGTAGATATGGCAAGTCGTGTAACTAGTAGCTTAAACAAGGCTTGTCAAAAACTTTCCATGAAGTATGAATCTCAATCTAAAATAATGACATAAGGTAATCCATGGTGACAATGTCGTGTTGTAACATGACTATATGGTGAAAGATGATAATATAGATTTTATTATAGAAGAGCCAAGTTAAAACATAAAGTAGAAAAACATGGATAAAAGATAGGTATCAAGGGCATGAATTTCGAAGAAAGAGAATCCTCAATACACTCTTCTATCACTGAAGAGAACTAGAAAGTCACTCAAAAGGTGATGTAATATTAAGTAGAATGGCTATTACCAAAAATAAGAAAGACTAGAAAGTCTTAAAACAAGACTAAGACTAGAAAGGCATTGACAAGAGTGAAGAAGGCTTCACTCTTGCCTCCATATATACTATCTAATTAAGAGCTACGTGGCGATGTCCCATAGGACCTTCAACATGTGTTGACTTTGTTAACCACATGTCTTATCTTACAAGGTAAGTTATCTATGTATGCACCACATAGTTAGCTTATTTCACAAGCTACTACACGTAGATGACTTATTCTATAAGCTATTAATATATGGTTAGTTTTTTGGCCAAGTTTTTAAGCTACAAACATATCTAAAGTCAAAACCATATCTATGAAGCATCTAGGAAGCTTTTCTAGAAGATTTTATGAATTATTCTATATTTACCTACTTCTACTTAATCATATAAGTAATTATTGAGGTAAATATATATATCCATGACATTATCCTGTCTTCTACGGACGAGTTCCTCGAGGAGCGGTCCTCATATGTTGAGGAAGTCCAAGATGCGGCAAATTGTATTTGCTCAATACTCTGATCTTTGCTCTTTTCAAAGATGGTTGATAGTTCCTCTCAATCATCTATAGTGTTCGATATCAGGGCAAGAAAACCACCTTGTTATTTGGTCATTATTGAGGCCTTCATAACTTCCTTCAAATAAAATATTTAGAACACTGTTAAGAGTTATTCCTACCTCTAATAAAATCACTAAATATCGGAAGTCTCGTCTAAGATTGTCATACCAAAAAAGTTGTATCTCACCATCTATTTTGAAGAAGGACATGTCGTTCTTGAGGATCTTCATCTCGATTTCATCGTCTTGAAGGTTGTGACAATCGTAATATTTTATTGGATAAGTCCGCAAATAAAAGCTCTTGAGTTGAATCTACTGGTTATTGGTATTCCATCTCATCACAAATACACAGAAGTTACAATGAAAGACAGAAGGTAGAATGTTATTTTTTTTTATCTTGTTTCTTTTATAGCAAAGATTTACTATTCTTCATCTTGGTTTTGATGGATATCATTGATGAAAGACTTCAACTTTCTTTGCTGCATTTGTAAGATTCTTTGATGGCTCCCATATAGATTCACTAATATCATATCCGTGCCAATGAACAAGATATTCCAACATATTTCGGAACCACCTTGAGTCTAAGACTTCTCCCACTTCAAACTCTTGGTTACTATCCACTTCTATAGGAAGAGGTGGCATTTGTCTTCTTCTTAAAATATTCACTATCTTACACGACTCTAAAAGAGACACGTGAAATATAAGGTGGATCTTCATAGACTTTGGTAGATGTAATCGATAGGCAACAAGATTGATTTGTTTACAAATAGAAAAAGGTCCTAACCTACGATAATCTAATTTATGATAAGGATGAGTAGTCTTGATATTACAATGAAGTAACCATACCTTGTCACTGATATTATATTATGGTTGTTCCTTGCAAAAGGCATCCGCGTTGGTCTTTTGTCATTCTTGAGCTTCCTTTAATTGTAGCTTTATTGTTATATATAGCTCTGACAAGCAATTTGCTAAATCTTTCGCCATAAGATTATCAACTTTTGAAAAGTCAAAAGTATCAAGACATAGATGATAACCATAATTGGTAAAGAAAGATGTGTCAAGGACAAGAACTCGATGAAAAAATAATTCAGACAAGTCAGCCTTCACTCAAAGAAAGATAACAAAATATAAATAAACAAGTATGTATATTGAAAGAGAAATTGGAATGGCTATTGCCAAAAGACAAAGAAACTAGAGACCGTTGAAACTAGACTGGAAGTAAGAAAGGAGTTGACTAGAGTGAAGAAGCCTTCACTCTTGTCTCTATATATACTATCTAACTAGAGGCTATGTGGCGACGTTCTATAGGACCTCCAATATGTGTTGACTTTGTAGAACACATGCCTTGACTTACAAGGCAAGTTTTTCTACATGTGGGCCACATAGTTAGCTTGATCTTCAAGCTAACAACATGTGTGGCACATGACCAACTTGTTGACCACGTTTCTAATCCAAAAAATCAATTAAAGATACCTATGAAGT